CCAATGAAACCTTTCAGTCATGTACTTTCTATTCATTTAAAAGATTATGAAAATTTACAAGTTGCACCGAAAAATCATAAAAGCGAGAATGAAAGAATTAAAAAATTTATAGAGGTTAGCTTAATCCAAGTAAATTGCTCCTGAACAAAGAAATGTACGATTCAATCATCCTGCCAGCCATAATGTACGGTGCTGAATGTTGATCAGCTCCTGAAGCTGTGGAGAACAAACGGATGGGTGAGCAAGGAGCAATGAAACGAACAGCGTGCAAGGTCTCCTTCAGGCATCACGATCCTAATGCACAAATTCGACAGCAGGCTGGATTAACAGATGTGAGTTCTGCTTTCTAGACACCAACAGAAGATGAGCTTGTGAGGTCGCTCACTTAAGGAACAACCGCAGAAGTCAAGAATCAAAATCTGCATTTAGCTGGACCATAAACGTCAACTCGGTCGTCAAAGGACGTTGGGACGATAGATGTCAGAATTACATGGCCAGAGGTGAAAGCGGCCAGCGGAGAGCAGATAATGCTGAATGTGCTTTGACTTGCGTTTATGGAGGGATGATCCAAACAAATCCAAAACACCGCATCATGTCATCATTCCTCTGAAAAAAATTTGGCTTTTACCGGTACAATTACTATTAAATCATTGTCATCAGATAACAACTCCGATTTCGTTTAGTGTCAGGAGAAAGTTTTGTATGCTGCACGCTACCAGTGCAGATTTAATGAAGTAGAACCGATTTTATCAGCATCCGACTTTGAATATTATATTCAAACTTTTACCGTCCCAAGGCACATCATAGTTTGTACCACATGATTCTTCCGGCACTGTAGATGAATCACATTCTGATTTCGATTGAAAGACTGAGGAAACGCTTGGAGGATAATTTTCTGAAGACGGCGAAACGTCATACGATGACTGTTGAAATGCTGCCAGACAAATGGCATTCTGCCACAACTGAAAACGCAGAATGTAAGGAAAGTAAACAAAACGTCACTTGTAAATAATAGCAAGATACGTCTCGTATACGGTATTGAATTACAGATTTACCTTCAGATTTTCAGGAAAGTCACTCATGAGACTGAATTGGATGTCCTTCATTTGCAGTTTCAGAAAGTACTCGTCCTTTTTGATTTTGTGAACCAGTCTGACTGTAATGCAGTTCTGCAGTAGCAGGTACTTGACGTTTTTGCCGCGGTCATAATCCTTTTCGTCTTTGTACAGTTCCACGCGTGGAACACCAACCAGACTCTTCGCGTAAACAGCACCAAACTTCCTTTCCCACCTCTGAAAGTTAAACATTCAAGCAATGCTAGCATGTGATTCATGGATACAGTTTGCCTTGATTCATCTGGCAGATTATCAAAGGTCAACAGACGGCGAAAACGGTATATGAAAAGGATTGAGTGATAGTTCCAACGAGTGTCAAGTAACAAAGTCGTTTTGTCAATCCCGACCTCAGTGTTTTGTATCATGAAGTGCACGTAAAGATGAAAATGCGGAGTTGCATGTCACTGCCTCAGCTGTGAAGACATGTCATGAAACCCTGAGCAGTAGAACAATCGAAAAGAAAGGTAATTGCAGTAGTGGGTTGACAGAAGTCCACGGATCTTCAAGGCTAGTCTCTCTTCAAGACGGATATTCTTGCTACAAGCACAGGATGAAGGACTTTGAATCGCGATTCATATTTTTCATAAAATTTAGCATAATGACATACGGTACTTTTTTGCTCTCGTCTAAGCTTTCACTGACGATGACGTTTGCATTTTTTGTTGTTTTAAAAACGAAACGATTTGTGCGTGCGTTGATGGTCATGGTGAAACGAAAAATAATATTAAAAAAACACTTGAATGTACTCGAAGCGAAGCGGTCAGTTTATTGGATGATGGATCATTACCTGACGGCTTTACGGTTCGACTCGAACCATTTGATGCCGACAGCGGCAATTATGTTAGAAGGAAATACCAACAGCCTTATGTCGAAGAAGGCTCTTAGAATAATAAGTCGGTAATGATGTTTCAGCTGATCAATTGACTATGTCTTCTTTATGCAAAATTAAGCCATTTATGGTGTGTTTTTGCATGGTGATTGATGCCAATTCACACGTTGTACATCTTCTAGGCATATATAAATCAAATAACATAGAAGAAGTGTTGAAAGGAAATGGTGCTGGAGATCTGAAACAATTATTTTTTGACATAAACCCCTCGCTGCATTGAATGAGCTTCTCATTTGGAAACCAAACCACAGTCTCTGTCGAATCTAGGTTAGGGTCATGTATCTTTTATCTTTCTGAGGCAAACACAGAGGGATGGCGGCAAGCTGCGCTTGCGTTTGCCCTTCATACAAAATTGAAGCAAGAATATCCCCATATGACAAGAATCCAATCTGGATGTCCCCATGCATGAGGGTAAAAACTGTAATCCGTAAAACTGTTTTCAATGTGCGCAAAAGCAAAATACTTCTCTCAGGCTAATGCTGTTTTAAACTACCAGCAAACTTATCATTCATTGGACCAGAGGCTTTCCTACCGGCCAATGAACATGAATTAACTTGTTGCAGTGCATTTTAAAGTTTGCTTTAATTTTTGGACGGACGCAAGTAAACTAATGTTGTTTAAACTGCACACATAAAAGTCCATTCATTCTGATTGACCCGATAAGCGAAGGTTGGCGAAGACTTATAATAATACGGAGTCGGCTTAGCAATGACCATCTTTCTCAGAAAGCCATTCTCAAATCTTGCAAGCAGACACCTCACCGAATGGAATTTGTCTCTTCATGAGGTCACGTCTCGATCGTCTCTAAAAAGTGCGTAACAGCAGCTTATTTTTTATTAACTGCATAGGGTTGTTTGTTTATGCAAAATGTGCAGCAACTTTATTGACGACGAAGTCACATGCACCCCAGTTGCAAACGTTCTACCAGCGTTGTTCAACGGAGTTACTCCCGACGCATGGCTTTCATAATGAGTGATAAAGTGCCCTGTTAATCACGGAAATGTAATAAAAACTCAACTTTTCAGACCTCTTTCAATTTTTGCACGTAGTATAGTAACAGGACAGCAGCATAGTTTCACAGTACAATAATTTATTCGCTAGCTCTACCTTTAACCACTAACTCTGCATATTTTCATCTTTCAAATATAGTACCCTTTCCAATGCCGCTTTCGTTACCTGTAGCGATTGATCGACTTATTTCTAGAATCTTAGTGAATCACAAATGTTAGTCGTTGCAGGTTGAACGCATGTTGTTTAAACTTATGAAATTGATCAGCTTCACCACGCGCATATTTTTAGTAAAGACACTTTTACTTTTAGAGGAGCCATGGTGGATTCGCTTCGCTGATACCTGCTCAGATAAAGCTAATTGTTTTGTGATACACGTGTAACACTCTAAATGCAAAATCATGACTAAAACTGAGTATTTCGTTTTTGCATTGATGGTCATATTGAAAACAAAATGAAGCACTGTTCATTTACACACGACCCAAGTAACTTAGTCAACAGTATGACTGACCAGCACTGATGTTTCGACTTCTGTATGATATGTCATCCTCAAAGAAAGAGGTTGATGGAGTGACAAAATAAGTATTGATAAGTGGGGTAGAGATATGAGTGATTTAATTATGTCTTCAAGGCGAACTTGCTTGTAAGAAGGATGCGCCCACTATTAGGCGAGATGGAAGAAGTGGAGCAACTGGGGACTGGATTCACATTCATCTTTAAATGGTACATGCATGCACTCATTTATCAGCAAACATTTATTCTTATGGATTATAAGTGCAGAATCAAGAAAGGTTTCTAAATGGCACAAAATGCATCTGCTTAATTTTATAACTTTTCGCAATTTCGATATGCCGTGATATATTTCTTGTTGATCGTTATGAAAAAAGATATATATTGATATTTCTGATCTTCCGCTGCATCATTTTATTTGTCTAATCATCACTGGAACCATTTACATCAGCAAATTGTTTCCGGTTAACCTGTCTGCTGAATCTTCAACTTTTCGGCACAATGTACTTTGCTAAAATACAGTATCGCAAAAGAATAGTTCTTGACCAAACGCAGATTCACCTCTGTCTTCTTGGCTCATGCTACATGCTGACCTCTTGATCAGCGTTTATCATGTCGTAGTCCTCTCATTATGCCGTAATCTCAAAGACTATCATCTTAATGTAGTTCCCTCCTTCGAAGGCCTTCATCAGTTAGTGGAGGCAAACAAGCTATCATTCATACTAAAGAACGACAAAACAATTGGATTGACTCAGCTCAACCCAGAATACGGGCAAAACGCGCAAAACATTTGATCAAGCGTTCGTTTTTCTCATACGTTTAATCCAGCTTCTATTCCTTTGCTTGAAATTAATCTTATAATTCACGGGTTATGGAAACAAAGAGCGATTCTTTACAGCTACAAAATCTGACCTGCAAGATTTTTTCTATTGCTCAAGACTCCTGCTCGAATTCATTGGAACTGCACAGGCATGAATTACAAAGGATTTTATTACTGAATTCTTGGATCCAATTCCTATCGCCAGACAGCTGCTATTTCAGTCAGAGCAGTTTCAGATGCCCTTGCCTTTCGAGTTCTGGTGGAGGGGGGGGGGTACCATCGTCAGAGAACGTTCACGATATTCCACTCCGTGAGTATCTGTAAGAGACTTCTCAAGCATGGAATAGAGTCCATTGGCCTACTTTCTACCAGTCATCCTGAGATTTTTTCAGGTCCTTTGTTAGTTATTGGTCAAGAATTAGTGCATGGTCATCCGTGCCAATGGCATTCACAAGACATGCTTCAACTGTCCTAGTTGTGAACCCAAGTCATGAAGACTAGGAGCGATTGAAGATCCTTCGTCTGTCTGGCCCGTGAATCGTCATTTTCTATTAGTAAGAAACATGGTAAAAAAAAGTTCATATTATGTTTTCGATTGATATCAGTATCGCCGTGGCCGAGGTGTTCCCTCCGTGCTTTCGCTCAAAGCGTCTTATTTAGGAAAATCTGTCTTAACCGCCTTAAGATGTCTGTTAAACTCCTGATTATCGCAGCTTCAGTAGGTATTGGCATAAACAAATTGGCATATTTTAACTATGAGAACTGGCCCAGTTCAAAGTGAATGTTGCTACCTTGCATTCAGTCTTCTAGCCATTTCAAACCTTTGTCATCACACAAAATATTCATTTTGTAACAAATTCATGGGATTAATTTACGGAGGATATGAGAAAAAAATGCTCACGGGATATCTAAGAAATGCGAGAGCAAACGTCGATAGGTGGGGAAGAAATCGAAGTGTCGGAAATCTTGCTCAAAGGGAGAAGGAGAATAAATACCTGAGGCATGGTCGAGTGCTTCTTGATGGAAATGAACCCAGCGAAGAGGGGTTCGTTTCCGGCGGTGTAGTTCATCGCTCATAGATTCTTGTTAGCAGGAAAGTTCAGCGATGTACGTGATCCGATGCTATCCGATCCAGCAACCACCACGGGACAAAAAGACAGACACGAGCCGCTTCCAAACGGACAATAGACGTAGACGGCGCCTGTTTATCTAATCGCTAGTACAAAAATAAACAGTTTTCTGAAGTTGGCTTGGCGTGCCGGCTGAATAGTTGAATGATTCGCGTGACTTTACGAAGGACAGCGTCAAAAACCTTACCACCGTCCCCACACGACGTAACGTCATCGATGCCAGCGTCAACGACAACAAACACAAATATGTCGAAGATGATATCTGAGGAGATTTCAGAGGCCAACACTTGCACCGAATGAGGGCACGTTGAAAGAAGACGAAAACGAACGGCTGCTGTTAACTCTTCTTTCGTTGGGCCGTTTGCAGGCAGTGCAATAAATAAATCAGAATGGCCGTAAATAGCTGCTGCAGCAGAAAATTGTTTGTCACGTTCATAGTCGGTTCTATTGTGTCTAACCGTTTCTTCAAATGCAGATATACACTTTCAGCGAAGGCGATATCATTTTTAAAACGAATTCAAGGTTCCTTCACAACAGTGGTACTGTTAGAAGATTCATTGGACAGATTCTGCTGCTCTTCAGTTTACAGGATAGCACACAGTTGTAAGGAGGTCAACTTTGAATGCAGGTATCCAGTTCGATCCCGACGAAAGGAAGCCTTTCCCTTGCATCTGCATCAAGCATCTAACTAATTCCATGTTGTCTCTGCGCAACCATAAAAAACGGGTTGTAAGACAATGACTTGCGAATGATATGGAGAGCATGGTGTTCTAGTCTGGTCATAAAAGAATAGGAGGTATGAGACCATGCCATTTGACGCGACCGCCTTCTGTAGCTGCGCTCCGCTTTCATCTATCTGATAGCTGATTATTGAACGTAATATTCAGCACAAGGCGTAACTCCGATTTTGATTTGACAAACTAGCACATAATTGAAGGCAAATAACCAAACGGAATGAAATAATCGTTTGCTTCATATGTTTATGAAATGACAAGATCCTCCATTTAAAATCGTGGTACTGTAACTTAGAATAATAAGCTTGTGTGCATATAGATATCTTCTTTGCCACTTCTTACCAAACCCGAAATTTAGAGTATTTTATGCAATAAGTTAAAAATATTTTGGCATGGAAGCTGAGATAATTACTTCGCGCCAGTATGGTTCTAGAATCCACTAATAGATTTAAATTTTGATTTGTTAGGCACAAACTGAATGAATCCGTCATGTATTTAAAGTACTGCGAAATTTCAGCATATTGTTTGTATGCAAATAACGAAGCTTTCCTGTTAAGCGGAATGGCTTTCGGTGCACAGTAACAACCACCATACCGAAAGTACGGTAGTTGTGCCACTGGGTAATTTTGATGTCAGCAATGGAATTATCCAACGCCTCCTTTTTAAACACCGTTTTAGTTCAATTTTACATCTAATGCGCTATAATAACTACAGGATAAACTGTTTTTCAGAGGCATTGTATCACTTCAGATATGTAATTGCGCATACGGAATATTTATAAAAAATGAATTCATAATTTTTCACCCAAGGATAGAGAATTTCGTTCGTATGTGATGGCACACTGGAAAACAGCATAAAACACGGTTTGCAGATGCACAGTACCAAAGTAATATGATTAATCGGTTGATTAATTAATGCCAACTTTTCGTAACAGTCCGAATGTTGCGCTTTTTTCATTAATTTTTTCACTGTGCGTTCGTACAACCGTAATTGTCTGACTCTTTCTCAAGCTAGCTTCAAACGCATTGGGATTCACATAGAAAAGAACCAGAAGAAAAGTAACAGATCTCGATAGATCTCTGCATTTGTGGGTACAATTGTTCTCCGAAATCTGCTATGGTATATGAAAAGTTTTTCGAAAAGGAATGCGCTTCTTAAAGCGACTCTTCAGTGATAGAAGGACGTAAGGCGTTCTGGCGTTGCTGACATGATCTACCCATTTGGCATGATAAAAAAAACTTCCAGAACTCAGTGGCAAATCAATTCGGTCTTCTGATATTCTATTTCAATTGACAGTGTTGGATCAGAATTACGGCTCATAACAGAAATGGCTACATTGAGCATTTAGGAAAAAAGTTTTGTTTTTTCACGTCACACACTGTACCTGCCAAGTGCAACAGTGACGCTATGAAAGATGCATCCCAAACAATCTCTGTGCAGAGCCCATGGTATGCACTATCAAGAGAGTACCCTTCCCAACAGTTGCGCCTCGAACCCGTTCTCATGCTTCAAGGCCATGAAGCCTAGTGAAAGAAAACCTGCAATATTAGTCATAATGAAATTCTATATCGTTAATTTAAAGTTCTGAAATGCTGTGAAGGCTTATCTTTACAAAATCAATCTGATTAAATTTAGTTAACTGAATGACACTATAATCGAAAAACTAAACAGAATATTCTGACGACTTTGATGGATTAAAATTAAATTTTCTATAGCATTTGAAAACTATCACTATTTCAGGCTTGATAAATTTTCTGGTTTGTTTAATATTTGATGTTTGTACCATGACATGCGGATCGAAGTAGGTATGTTGGAGTAATATGAATCACAGTAATTAATGATAATCAAGAATCATAAACAGCTTGCAAATTTTGCAAGGAACAAAGAGGATCCTGATAAGAACGAAACTTTCCTTCGGTTTTGATTTCGTTACTTCTCACCGTTTATGCCTATTTGTTGTTGCTTATACCCAGTCGATTTCTGCGTTGCGTATAAGACACCGGTAAACTGCTATTTCGACAATTTACAAGCAATAATTTGTCCTCTTGACGAGAACAGGCTTTTTGCTCGAGCGTTCAGCCTTCATCAGTACAATAATAAAACTCATTACCTACTTTATCGTATAAATAAAAATAAGCAGTCCGGGTGTGCAAATAACAGCTCTGGTCGAAATTGCTTGGTCTTGGCACTCCGCTGCCACATACTTTTCATCTTCGGCGATCATTAATGAATGGACTTTTGCTCTTTAAAAGCAGCTTAAAATACGGTTTGTGCATCTTCATCTTCCATCGGCGCTTCTCCTTTCGGGTCGCGGAGGCAGACGCGTCAGACACTGCTTCCAACGTTCCCGATCCCGTGCCAGAGTCTCCGCTA